AAAGCATATTGGGCTATTAAAGAGCTCAATTATGACTTCGAACTTGCCGGTGAGAAGAGGTTGTTTGATATTAGCTCAGTTGATGAATGGAGAGCCCAAGTTTATGAGAATGCCAAGCTATTCAAAGAAAAAGTCAAGCGCTGGCATGATAAAAGGATACAAAAGCGTGAGTTTAACGTAGGAGATCATGTGTTATTATTCAACTCTCATTTAAGATTTTTTGCAGGAAAACTTCTCTCTAAATGGGAAGGTCCCTACGTTATCGAGGAGGTCTATCGTTCTGGTGCCATAAAAATCAATAACTTTGAAGGCACAAGTCCGAGGGTGGTAAAAGGTCAAAGAATTAAACATTATATTTCAGATAATCTTATTAATGTTGAAACTAATATTATTGAAACCGTAACCCCGGAGGAATACATAAGGGACACTTTCCAGAACGTTCCAGACTCCGAAAAGGAATAGGTATGTGGTACGGTAAGTAACCGACTCCAAAACAACTCCAATGGCAATTTTAATCAGTTTTGGATTATTTAAGAATTTTAGGAAGAAAGAAGTAGTCCGAAAGGGACATGAGGCCCCCACAAGAGTGGAGGGCGCGCCTACCCATACTGGGTGCGCCCCCCTGTCTCGTGGGCACCTTGTGTGCCTCCCGGACTCTGTTTTCTTGCACATTACATATTTTGGTCGGTAAAAATTCATTATATATACTCCCGAAGGTTTTGACCATTGTATCACGCAAATATCCTCTATTTTCGTTTCGAGCTATTTCCTGTTGTAGATCAAGAGCAAGATGTCTTCTAGGAGTCAGTCGGGGAGAGTCGGGTGTCTCACCCAGCACCGGTACCAGGAGAAAATAGCTATGCTCATCACTTTGGACCTTCAACGGAGGATGAGATGGAGGCCGATTTGAAAAGGATAGATGCCATGGAGGAAGATCAAGAAGTTACCTCTCGTCCCCAAGAATAATTCATGATGAGGGAACTACCCAGCTTGGCTATTCCAACTTCGGTCATCTCTTCCAACTTTAGATTTCTCTCTTATGAAAATATGAAAAAGAGCTTCACTTGTTCTCCAGAAGCTATGTAGCATCCTTGGGTAAAGGGAGCTTTGGCTGTAACGGATAAGATCCATAAAGAAATTATGGGCCTCAAACGACAAGTCAATACGCCCGAGGAGGAGAACCGTATCCTTAAGGGCATCATCGCCAAGAAGATCATAACGCCAACCGTGAAGAAGGAGACATAATCACATGGGTATGGGCACTCCCCTTGGCAACTTCCAAACTTGGGGGAGGTGCCCCGGTATCGTATCACCATCACACTCCTATCTTTACCGTTTTATTTAGTTCGATCCTTTTAGTAGTATCTTGATCTAGTAGATTGAAGTTTTGATATCGAGTAGTTTTGAGTTTTGCTTTGTGATCTCTTTTTGTAATCGAGTCTGTGAGCTATCTATAATAAAGATTAGTGTTGAGTCAAGGGCTTTGCTATGTTGCTATGATCTTCAGAAAGTAGAAAGAATTAAAGAGTTCTTATTGATCTTATGGTTAGTGATAACTTCACATATCTAAAGTATGAGGCATGAAAATTGTTGAGAGTTGATAAACGTAATTTTGGTCATCGTTGCAATTAATAGGAAGTGATAAGGAAAGAGAGGTTCACATATAAGTATACTATCTTGGATATCTTTTATGATTGTGAGCACTCATTAAGTATGACATGCTAAAAAAGTTGACGTTGGACAAGGAAGACAACATAATGGTTTATGTTTTCTCACATCTCAGTTAAAGTATGTTGTCATTGACCTTCCAAACATGTTGAGCTTGCCTTTCCCCCTCATGCTAGCCAAATTCCTAGCACTAAGTACAGATACTACTTGTGCTTCCAAATACCCTTAAACGCAGTTTTGCCATGAGAGTCCACCATACCTACCTATGGATTTAGTAAGATCCTTCAAGTAAGTTGTCATCGGTGCAAGCAATAAAAATTGCTCCTTAAATATGCATGACTTATTAGTGCGGAGAAAATAAACTTTATACGATCTTGTTATGAAAGCAATAAAAGCGACGAACTGCATAATAAAGGTCCATACACAAGTGGCAATATAAAGTGACATTCTTTCGTACTAAGATTTTGTGTATCTAACCCTAAAAGCGCATGACAACCTCTGCTTTCCTCTACGAAGGCCTGTCTTTTACTTTATGTTCTTACTTTTTATTTTATACTTGAGTCAAGGTGATCTTCACATTTCCCTTTTTCATTTTATCCTTTGGCAAGCTCCTCGTGTTAGATAGGTCATGATATATATATCCAATTGGATGTTCGTTAGCATAGATTATTATTGTTGACATCATCGGAAGGTGAATACATTGGGAGGCAACACAATAAGCCCCTATCTTTCTCAGTGTCCGGCTGAAACTCCATAACCACAAGTATTGCGTGAGTGTTAGCAATTATAGAAGACTATATGATAGTTGAGTATGTGGACTTGCTGAAAAGCTCTATTGTTGACTCTTTCTGATGTTATGATAAATTGTGAATGCTTCAATGACTGAGATTATAGTTTGTTAGTTCTCAATGAAGTTTTTGAACCATACTTGATATTGTGAATGGATTGTTACTTGAGCATAAGAAATCATATGATGGAATTTATATATGTTGCTGTTATAAGAATGATCATGATGCCCTCATGACTGTATTTTGTTTTTATCGACACCTCTATCTCTAAACATGTGGACATATTTTTCGATATCGGCTTCCGCTTGAGGACAAGCGAGGTCTAAGCTTGGGGGAGTTGATACGTCCATTTTGCATCATGCTTTTATATCAATATTTATTGCATTATGGGATGTTATTACACATTATATCTCAATACTTATGGCTATTCTCTCTTATTTTACAAGGTTTACCATGAAGAGGGGGAATGCCGGCAACTGGAATTCTAGTTGGAAAAGGAGCAAACATTGGAAACCTATTCTGCACGGCTCTAAAAGTCTTGAAACTCCACGAAACATATTTTTGGATTTATTAAGAATTATTAAGCAAAAAAAGTACATCAGGGGGCCCACACCCTGGCCAGGAGGGTGGGGGGCGCGCCCACCCCTACTGGGCGCGCCCCTGTCTCCTAGCCCCCCTAGTGGCCCTCCGGTGTCCATCTTCCGCTATATGAAGGCTCTTACCCTAGAAAAAATCGTGGGCAAGCTTAAGAGACGAAACTACTCTGCCACAAGGCAGAACCTTGTTTGAACCAATCTAGAGCTCCGGCAGAGCTGTTCTGTCGGGGACACTTCCCTCCGGGAGGGGGAAATCATCACCAACATCATCACCAACGATCCTCTCATCGGGAGGGGGTCAATCTCCATCAACATCTTCACCAGCACCGTCTCCTCTCAAACCCTAGTTCATCCCTTGTATCCAATCTTGTATCCAAAACCACAAATTGGTACCTGTGGTTTGCTAGTAGTGTTGATTACTCCTTGTAGTTGATACTTATTGGTTTACTTGGTGGAAGATCATATGTTCAGATCCTCAATGCAAATTATTACACCTCTGATTATGAACATGAATATGCTTTGTGAGTAGTTACGTTTGTTCTTGAGGACATGGGTGAAGTCTTGCTATTAGTAGTCATGTGAATTTGGCATTCGTTCGATATTTTGATGAGATGTATGTTGTCTTCTCCTCTAGTGGTGTCATGTGAACGTCGACTACATGACATTTCACCATTACTTGGGCCTAGGGGAAGGCATAGGGAAGTAATAAGTAGATGATGAGTTGCTAGAGTGACAGAAGCTTAAACCCTAGTTTATGCGTTGCTTCGTTAGGGGCTGATTTGGATCCACATGTTTCATGTTATGGTTAGGTTTACCTTAATACTTTTGTTGTAGTTGCGGAAGCTTGCAATAGGGGTTAATCATAAGTGGGATGCTTGTCCAAGTAAGGACAGTACCCAAGCACCGGTCCACCCACATATCAAATTATCAAAGTACCGAACGCGAATCATATGAACGTGATGAAAACTAGCTTGACGATTATTCCCATGTGTCCTCGGGAGCTCATTTCTCATTATTAGAAATTGTCCAGGCTTATCCTTTGCTGCATAAAGGATTGGTCCACCTTGCTGCACTTTATTTACTTTGTTTACGTGTTACTCGTTATTATTTATCTTATCACAAAACTATCTATCACCTACAATTTCAGTGCTTGCAGAAAACCTTACTGAAAACCGCTTATCATTTCCTTCTGCTCTTCGTTGGGTTCGACACTCTTATTTATCGAAAGAACTACGATAGATCCCCTATACTTGTGGGTCATCAGTAAGGAGGGGATAAGTGCTACCGAGGCCCGTATTGCGACGGATATGGTGGCGGCGGTGGCGGCTGATGCGGAGGTCCGGACGGCCGCAGATGAGGAAGCCATCCGCGGCCGCATTATGAAGAAACGGCAACGGAGGAACACGAGCGCCCTCGCCCAAGAGCAGAATCCTACCGAAGGAGAAAAAGGACAACTCCGGCGACGAGCAGATCCGGCACGATCCCTACCGCGTCTTTGATCGGTACTTCCGCGAGAAGGACGACAAGGGCCCCGGGAAGGGTAAAAGCAGCCGTGGGTGATCTTCACCATAACCAAACATGTCAAATTTTGGTAGTCCAATGGCATGTTTAGTTAGTAGTGGTGGAGTAGCCGAATGATGTATGTGCATCGACGTAGTCGCATGAGTTTATATGAATTAAAATATGATAATTAAGATGCCGAATGTGAATTACATTATGTGCGAGGTGCCAGGTCAGTGACCACGAAAGCTCGTTGGGGGTTACAGGGGCCAAGTTTGCCCATCGTGGATGTAGCTGCAGCGCCGTGGATAGGGGGAGAAAAACAGAGTTCACAAGGCGGAGTCTGACCCGGACACAAGCACGCCGCGAACAGGAGAAGCAGAGGTCGCCTTCCGCACACACCATCTTTTCCTTTTCTGTTGCGCGCAAGCAAACACAGCGCCCACCGATGCTCCTAAAACCCCAGGCAATCTGGGCGGCTTCCCTCCCTCTCTTCCTCGGCCGCCGCCTCCTCCCCAAATCCAGCCCTTCTACTCCTCACTCCGGCCGCCGCCTTCCCCTCCGCCCGTAAGCAGCACATCCTCCCCCTTCTCCCCCCTTCTCCATCTCCTCTTCTCATGCTCTGACGATGGTTCAGGATTTGCAAGCGGCGGATGAGCGCGCAGGCGGAGCCCAGGTTCGCCCCTCTCCCCACAGCGCAGTCCGAACCTGATGCCGGTAAAATTTACCCGCCCTACGCTGTTAAAACGGCCATCATTGCCCGTGGTTACTCGACTGCTCCTGTATCCGGGCAGCTCCGATGTGGTTAGTATTGACATCTTTTTGGTTTGTCTTCTAGGGGCAGACGGGTACCAGTTCCGGCTGGTTTCCTACAACATACTCGCCCAGGTATGTGGGCTGCTGCGTTTTACTCTGTTATTTTACTTATATAATTCAGCCGTATGGAGAGTGATGGATTGAAGAATTTGCTCAACATTTCAGGTTTATGTGAAGAGCGCGTTTTTTCCTCATTCTCCATCCGCGTCTCTTAAGTAAGCTCATAATTATTAAAGGCGGTGTCTATTTCTAAGTCGATTGACAAAAATTCATATTTCTAAGCTGACTATGTTGAACATTGATTCTTCTATCCAATAAAATATCAAGTATAGCCCATTTTAGAATTGTGACAAATCTCGAGGAGTGTCAATTTCTTAGTGGATTGTGAAATCGTTATTTCTAAGTTGATCCCCAGTGTTGATTATTCTATCCAATGAATATCTAGTAGATTTGTGTGTAACTTGGCTGGCTTGGAAATAACTGTTCTCAGTCGACATAGAAACAACAATTCCCATTGTCAAACTATTCATATCATTCTGCTGGAATTTTAAGTAATTGATTCTGATTGAAATCATCGGATGCCCTAACTAACCTCTTGTTGCTTGAGCATTGTGCACTGAAGATCACAGACCAATCCCTTTTTTCTTAGCACTTACATCTCAGAATTTGAATTCCGCAAGCAACGTACTCGTTTTTATCATATGCGCATTTTGTATAGTATCCAAAAAGTTACAAGCTAAATGTATGCTGTGTGAATAGTAATCAAGCTCACATTGCCACTTGAGGCTCTCTCGAAACAGGCTGTCGCCCTACTTTATAGATAAAGCAGAAATCAAAGTACATGGCCGAATAATACAAGTTAGTGAGGAAGCCCTCTTACAAAGCAGATCCTAGGATAACTGGACAACACAAATGCACACGACTACGTTGCTGAGAAATAACACAGCTAGGCCTGAAAACAACGTCACGACAACACCCTCGGGAGGGGAGACAACGCTAAGCATCGCCGCTGCCGAGCCTGAGACAGACAAGGGTCATCACCCGGAACCCCAACACGGAGAAGAGATCCACAACGATATCCTCGTGAGGAGAGTGGCAACCGCGGGCACTGTCGTCGTTAGCGCCAAAGCGCTGAGCTTTCGCTCGGCAGCTCACCCGTGCCACCATGAGGCGTCCAGGACAACCGCGATGAGCACAGGCCAACGACAGAGAGCGAGCCCGAGCCACCCGCCGCTACACCTCTTGCCGCCCACATGCCGGAGAGGCATAGCGACCACGATCGCCATGGTGCTCGCCGGAGAGCCAACCATGAGGATCGTCATCCGAGGCCGCCGCCATGGCATCCATGAACCGAGACACCTCCGACCGTCCACATCACAGCACACCAACCCCGACAGGAAGAGTAGAAGGCACCTATTTCCACACCTTGCCCGACATCAGCCCCCGGGTCTGGGTCCACACCTCCATGGTAGGTGCCGACGCCTGCATCCCCAACCAGTCCGGGTGGACTCGGTGGGGGGAGACCCGAGAATGCCAACGGCCATTGTCGAGCAGGCCCTGCCCAAAGCCCTCTGGCTTGGCTTAGACGAGCTCACACAACGCCAAGTCCGTGGCCATCGGCGCCGATCCGTTCAACGGCGTCACGACGACCACCACCGCCCACCGCGCCCGCGAGGACAGCGCTAGGCACAACCCGGACCGAGCCCAACCACACCTACCCGAGGCGACAACCCAAATCTGCTTCAGACCCAGAACTGGCCCGCTCGAGCACAAACCCTAGGTCAGAGCCACCGTCGCCGCACATGCAGCCGGCATGACCGGCACTTGCCCAGCCATGTGTACTGCCGGCTCGGGCCCAACAGAAGAGAGGTCACTGCCACCACCCCGCGCCTCCTGCAGGACCACAACCACCGAGCCGCCGCGGCCACCATACGCCCGCCCCATCGTCCTGACTCACCTCGGGCCAGCCTCCGAACTCAGGCCCAGCAACGACCATCGCCGGGAGGCAGGGTAGCAGCTTTAGGCCTGTGCCACCCGTGCTCCGCCCCTGCCGTGCGAGAAGCCGCCAAGGCCCCGCCACCGCCAAGCAGGCTTCTCTCGGCCACGGCGGTGAGGGAGATTCTGGGAGCTCTCCCCGTTGCCTCGAGGTGAGGGGTCAGTGTTTTTTTTTCGTTTTTCAACCACCCCGTAGGGCGTCACTTGAGGCTTCCTCTTACATTTATTTAAGATATTCCATACAGTTGTCTTAGTTGGCAAAACCCACCCTAACATTATTTTCTGTAAGCATGAAATCCTAAAAAAAAGTAATGTAGAATGGTCAAAAAATGCTGTTAGAAAAAGTGATTAATTAGCATCCAGATGAAATTGATGTCCCCAAAAGATACCAACTTTCGTAGCACACATATTTATTCAATAGGTATAATACGATATTCAAATTTACCCCTTGGTTTAAAACATAGAGGGATCGCATGCTTTGGATCTGCCAAACTCATGCTTTTCTTATCAGTATTTGCATTTTAATAATTCCCTACTATCTCCTTGCGCTCACTTTCCGTCCTCCTTCGTTGCACAGTCTCTTGTATGATATTGTGTTAACATAGAGATGATACATGAGAGGTATGCATGTCAACTACCATTACTCTAGTGTTTACTTGATATTTTACAATATAACTGAAATGAACACCGAGAGAATACGTAAATAGAGAAATCTTAGAGGGTAAAAAATGCCACATAATAAGTTTTAGTTTTATTTTTCAAACTCAAAGCGACAACTAGGACTTTCCAATTTTCCCATAGATTTACTAACAGACTATAGTATGTATATTTGTGCCAAATTTTGTATGAGGTATTATTTTCATCTAAATTTACAGACATCTGTTAAAATGCTCATGGTGGTGGGATAAGCAAGGCTAGGTTCTAGACTAGAATTGTTATGGCACTGCTAGAAGGAGGGCGTGAGAGGGCCGGCCGGGGGCCTTTTGCCCACGGCCAGGCAAGAGGGAAGGGATTTCCTTCTTAGTTCTTGCTTGATTAGATTGATACATCTTCTCTCTTTATATAGAGAGGTTTACTTGACTCCCAAGCAAGGCTTACTTGACCCCTAAGCAAGCGACCCTTATCTCTAATTAACCCTAAGACTAATGGGCCCATTAGGCCCATTACGTACTCTAACAAGAGTCAGGACTGAATCACCATCTCGCGATGGATCTCATCACCTTTTGGCCATTACTCCCCAGCCATCCTTTGCCAAAGTCCCATTTCACTCCCCACCGGCTATAACCACCAGAGACGGTATACTGTCTCTGGCAATATGCAGTAGCAGCGTTCTGAAGTTAGATCTGGCGCAACAGGCCTGTATCAGATATTCAGATTGAAGCGGTGTGAGATCTGCGACGGTAACTCGCAGTGATAGCAAAGAGGTTGCTAAATGTCAGATCCGCCCCCAAACCAGGATTGACGATCCATTCCCACTGATTACTTTTTCCCTTGCTTCTTCCTCCTCTCTCATGTAAAGTAAAACATTTGGTGTGGCAAGCTTTCTAAAGCGCATCCACGCAAAGCGGTGGCACCTCAAACGACTCCTTTTTTAGATTTATAAGGACCCCTGCATAGGGGGGCGGACCATTGCTTTCTTATGCTTAGCAATAGTAACCATAAACCATCTTCCACAATTGAACTGGCACATGGTTGCCATTTGGTGCACTTGTTTTATTTCAGGATTAAAGAACACAGTTATTTCTTTCCTTTCTGTTTTCCATTTCTTGCCCTAATTCTATCACCAGCTTTGAAATTCATGTTTACTCTTATGTTTGGAAAATAGGTGGAAAGCTCGTTCAAAAGCCGTTCTAACAGAACTCAAGAGTTTTAATGCTGACCTCATGTGCATACAGGTTGGGTCTCATTTCTGACGTTTTAATAAATTTCTGTACTGTGAAGCTAGTCTTACCCCTGCGAAGTGCAATGCGGAGAGGCTGGTTCGAACCCAGGACCTCTTGGCACAAGTGGGGAGGACTTCACCACTGCGCCAGGCCTGCCCTCTTAGTGTACACTTTAGAATATTCCTTATTTTTTTACTGGTTCCTGCCTCTGACAGGAGTTGGATGAATATGAGACATTCTATAGGAAAAACATGGAAAGTTCTGGATATTCAAGTATTTATGTCCAGCGATCTGGGGACAAACGAGATGGATGTGGTATATTTTATAAACCAAAAAGGTAAACATGTGCTCTTAACTGATGTACATGGTGCATTAGTTACTGATTTCAGGACAGCTCCTTATTGAACCTCTCTCCCTGCAACTATATTTGTTATTGTGCTCTAATCTATATTCAGTTTGCAAATACATTCCCTTTAAAATAAGCAGCTAATAATGGACAAAGCTCGGCACGAGAAAACTAGTTACTTTTTACATCATCCAATTATTTTTCCTGACCATTTTCTTATTTTTGCAGTGTGGAACTGTTACAGAAGGAAGTAATACATTACAATGATTTGGTGGAAACATGTCATCTTAATGATAATGTAATTAGTGCTCCCTCGAATAATTCTTCACCATCAGAAGGTAATATGAAAAGTTGCTAAACCTATATTCCTTTGCGGATCACATAATGGACACGCTTGCATGGAATGTGGACATTTGAAGTTGTGAACTGGGCACTTAATAAATAAATAAAAATACTTATTTAAATCTTTGAAATAATAACTCAAAAAATATCCAAGCTCAACAGCTGAAGCAGCATGTCTGTAAAGGGCTGATTTTCCTTTTGGTTTTCATTGCCTAATTACTACTTATATTTCTTGGAAGATGTGTTGGCTGTCATCATTATCTAGTGCTCCATTTTTTCTCCCTGTACTTTGGCTGGATATGTTCTTTGTTCTCATGACGCGCTTAAGATTATTTTGTATGATGTTTTCTGACAGAATCTAGTGGAAAGGAAGATAATAAGAAACGTGGAGATCCAAATGATCCACGTGTGAGATTGAAGCGTGACTGTGTTGGTTTACTCGCTGCTTTCAAGCTTGGCGATCCTTGTGAGCATATTCTAATTGTGGCGAACACACATATTTATTGGCAAGTAAAATAGCTCATGTTCTCCACTGTTCTGTGATTTAAAGATGTTTTCGTCATTTGACTCATATTTTTGCCTATTTTATTTTACTATATGTATTTGATGGAAGCTAGTTTTCAACACATGTTTGGGTTTCTTATACATGTTAACCTGTAAAACTTGATTTTACAGGGATCCAGAATGGATTGATGTGAAGTTGGCTCAAGCAAAGTATCTTCTTTCAAAAGTCTCTGAGTTTGAGAAAATTATCGCAAATAAGTTCACCTGTAAACCTTCTGTGATCATTGCTGGTGATTTTAACTCCACCCCTGGTGATAAGGTATTTCTTGCATTTGCTGCATTGCTTTCTCAAGCTTTTGCCACTATTGTTACAATTATTATTATAGATTGCAGAGTTTAGTTACACAGAAATTATTATCAAATACTACCGCTGTACTTGTCGCTCAAATGGATGTATCTAGCACCGAAATACGTCTGATACATCCATTTGAGCGACAAGTAATTCCGGACAGATGGAGTATTTCGTAACATGTCAACAGTGTATGTTGAGACTATTTTATGCATCAACCTTATCCAGATGACGTGACTTGTGCATAAATGACCCGGCCAGAATGACATCGTTTTAGCTCCATGGCTTTACTGAAAGATATTGGGAACTTTGTCCATGTGCTAACATCTATTCCAGTTATGTGTGTGGCATATTGTTATCATGATGAAACATATTTGTGTAGGGACTGGCAATGCGCGGTCCAATAGCTGCTTTATGCTTTTGAGCCCTTGTTTATGCCAAAAACAAAGCACTCTATCCTTTTGTCTCATGTGTGGATAATCTAACCCAGATTCAGTTTTGTGTGCCACCTCATTTCAATTTGGTTCTCTTTGTCACCTCAGCTAATTTGTTACTATCATTTCCAGGTATACAATTACCTTTTATCAGCTAGCGCCGAATCTACGGACGAAGCCCTGGTCAAATTGCGCAGCCTGTATGCTGAGAACGGAGGGGAGCCGGAGTTCACAAATTGCACTCCAGGTTTTACTGGAACGCTGGACTACATATTCTTGTCAGACGGCGGTTCAATAAAACCTAGTAGCCTACTTCGGATCCCGCGAGGGGGTTCCCCGGATGTGGAAGGAGGCCTGCCCAACTTCCACCATCCTAGTGATCACTTGCCAATCGGTGCCGATTTCCAGGTACTTAGCAGCTAGCTAGCTAGTGCCTAGGGTGGCCGGTTGCATTTTTCGACTGGCGGCAAATGGCCCTCGAACTGTTGTCCATGGTCTGCGTTCAGTCTAGGGTTAATCATAAGGCTGTGGTGCATGCAATAAATCTCACAGCCACATTTTCTCGTCGTTCTTCAGAAGCAATTTGTCAATTGATAACGGTATACTTTGTTACCTTTTGTGCGTGCGTGATGGTATGAATGTGAAGAAACATGTGCCTTTTGGTTTTCGGCCAAAGAGGTATGTGCATTTATCAGTGTATGCATTTCCCAGAACACTGGACACTTTTTGATTTTGAGGGAAGGTCTTCATGGCTAACTTTATTGATAATTATAAAGAGCGTTTACACACAAGATTTGCAAGTAAGCAGCTGTAGGAGGAACATCCCTCTGTTCTATAGTAGTTGTTGATTTAGTACAGTGTGTATTAAATCAGCGACAGATTTCAGCTACAACTAATATGAAACGGAGGGAGGGAGTACAAGACAAATTATTTAAGAAAACTATGCTTATAGCTAGCTCAGAAGCCGCACCATTAGCCTCACAGCATGAAATTGACATTCCCTATTGACAATTTATGTGTGTTCTACAGCAGTACGTGTTTTTAACCAGTATAAAGATTTATGTGTTCTTTAGCTCCTTATGTGTTCCCTCAAGTAACCGTTTTCACCCAAAAGTAAAACGTCAAACTTTAGAAGGTCGCCAAAGACGCATCTATCCTTGGGAGTTTATTATGGCTGCATAGTAAATATGTACAGATTCTACTAACCAAAGTCGTATCAGAACCAGGAGTTTGTCTGGACCTCACCTAAATTGCTGAATTAGTCATTCGGAAATAGGTACAATCAGTTCGTTACATGAAAGATGGTCATGGACAATTTGACATAGACTTTTCCACACACAAAGAACGAAAAGAAATGCGATTTGGCAGACCAAAGACAATAAAAGTAAATACACAACAATATGCAGGGTTCAACTAGTTACACAACTCAAAAAACTAGTTACAGTCTTACAGAAGCTAAAAAGGAAAAAAGCTACTTACACCCCCAAAAATTATCATATACTCCTGAAAGACAAAAAGAATGATGGCACACATGTATATCTGCTCTTGCCTCTTGAGACGATTCCTGAAAGGCCGCAGAGCACTCGGAACTGAAGAACCAAATCCTCTCTCGGGTTGTTTCACATATGATGAAACTGGAATTTAGGCAGCCCCATATTCAGGCACCGACAAAAGTTCGAAGGAAAGCCTCGCAGGCACCAATACAACCTCTTTGGATCCTACAGATGGATTCTACTCTTCCTTCTTCTCCTTCCCTTTCCTCTCTTTAATCCATGATGAGCAAATTAGCGGCAGCATTGTGCATGCAGCCTCAATCAACAAGCAAACCGGCAGTGCAGAGAAATCATCTCCAGATACTCCCATGAATTCAGCAAGCGCAACCCCAAGATATCCGCTGATGATAATAGACAGGGCAAGTGCAGACATGACAAAGGCCATAACCGATCCCTCGCACCCGGAGGGGCAAAGGCTTGCCATAAGAACACTGAAGGGTAGCACCTTGAAGAACATGAGGCCCTCTAGCAGCCCTGAGAACACAATGGTGTATAAGGAGTCTGATATTCCCACCTTTCTGTATACTCCCTGAACAAATAACACATCTGACAACATTACAACAGCTGTGATGAACTGCAGAGCTGATAAGACCTTGCGTGCAGACGTTGTCTTGAAGCACTTGTTGTATGCCATGCTCCAAGCCAAGAGAGCCACTTGACCAAAAACCTTGGATAAACCGATGATGGATGAGTCAAGTCTTAACACTTCAGTCTGGTAGAAGAACATGGTCCCGAGTAGAAATGGTATGGCAGCATAAGATACTGAAAACCATATGATTGACCAGAATATTTCCGGCATACAGAGCGCACACGACAGCTCTTTGGTTTGTTTACGGATGCTTGAGATCACGGATGTATTAGTACTTGCCTTTGGGAGTTTGAGGGACCTCTCAGGTATAGCCACAGTAGTGAAGAACTGGAGCACGAGAATGATTGCGAAAAATAGGAACATGAGTTTGGGGGAGAAGTAGCTGAGAGCAATGCCACCAAGGAGGTTTCCTAACGCGCCAGCGGAAGCACCAAACATACAAGCAAAGGATTGAAGCTGCCCCCCTGAGGAAGAAGTTGCTTGCTTCCCGGCCTCCGCTACAATGGCATCATTCGCAACCTCACATATGGATGCACCAAAGTTGCTCAAGAGGAGAAAAATGGTAAGAACCGGAAGAGAAAGAGACGGCCAGAGGGCAATTCCCAACCATGAAACTGCCTGCAAGAGAGCTGCAACCACAGCAATAAGAAGGTATGTCAAAATTATAGTCAGCTACGTAAGGAGAAATAGCTACAGTGTAGCACATAGTAAGCATTTTCAGAAGCATCAGTTATGGTGTCTTATACGGTGATTGTCATTGAGTAAATTACAATAACTTTCCTTAGGCATCTGATTGTGCCAATTATATCGACAAGATATCATTGGACATTAAACCTTTGGCCCATCAAGCCCGAAATCACTTGGTGCGCTATTTATGTCAATCCATTCATGAAATGGTTGAAAAATACTACTCCCTCCGTTCACTTTTGTAAGTCGTTCCAGACAACTCAAAATGGGCTGTTTTGCACATTGTCTCTTGGATATCTGCCGCACTGTATTTTTTTTTCGGTTACTAAACCAACGAGACCAACAGATTGAGCTAATTTCTAATGATGCAAAGTAAAAATGATAATCAAAGACCCAAGTGATGCTAGTCAATCAAATTTTGGTGGTATTGCACAGATTAAGACTTCAGCATAGAATTTGAAGATGGACAATCTTAAGTTTTGTGATGCTGGAATATGGCAGCACACCATCCGTCCAGTCATGACACTTTAAAGTGCACGGCAAGGGCGAGATCCAAGACTGAGAAAATAGTCAGCATGACGCTCTGGTTGCCGCTCCAAAAGGCTAATCCGCCAAAAGATGGGAATGATGGTAATCAGAATAAAAAACGGAAAGGGAAAGCGAAAGTGAAGGAAAACAAAAGGCACGATAATGATCAAGAGTACAACTGTGTTCAAGTATATTCTTTGCAGCGTTGTCATTCGCCACATGACACCGATGTACAAACAAGTGAACAGCACGCAAGAAAGGAACGTGGAATGCTCTAGCGTGGTTACCATTTTTCTTTCTTTCTCCAAAGACAGCGCAAAAGAGTAAACTATCCTACTGCACTTTCCTACACTGCTCAGAATTCCTACGACTCGTCCAATCAGTGATCAAGTGCAGTGAAAAAAAAGGCGAAATTGTGCGTGCAACATGGACAGTGCAGGGGAGGGTGAAAATCTCCCAAGAACTATGATTCTGCATCGCGAGTGTGGTTCCGATCATTCCAGGTTAAACGGTAAAGGGAGGTACGGAATCGAGTGTGGTTCCGAGCATTCCACGTTATTATCCGTTAAAGCAAGGGAGGTATGGAATCACGATGAGGATCATGGTGTCGGTCGGCGTTGTTGGTAGATCTGAAAAGAAAGGCAATGCGATAACGTGGGGGATAAAGGGAGGGAGGGGGCGTACCGCCGATGGCGACGTATGGCAGGCGGCGGCAGCCGCGGATGGGGACGGCGTCGGAGAGGAGGCCGAGGAGCGGCTTGGCGACCATGGGCAGGGTGGCGGAGGCCTGGAGGATCTGCAGCGAGGAGGAGGGGACCCCCATGGCGTCCTTGAGGAAGAAGTTGACGCCGAGCCAGGGGAAGAGCCGGAAGCCCTGCACCCAGAACCCCACCCCGATCACCCACCGCTGCTTGGCCGCGGCCGCCGCCGCGGCCCTCTCGCCCTCCACCTTCTGCTCCTTCTCCATGGCCTCCCTCCTCCCCGAAATCCGACGGTACGGAGTCTCGGCTTGATCCGCGCGCTCGCCGGACCTTCTGTGTTCTGCTCTGCTCCCGATCCAAGGGAAGGGAATGAGGAGAGACTGAGAGCTCGTGGTGGCTCTTGCGTTGTACACTACCACCGGGGGTGGAAGGACACGTGGGATGGTTGGGTGTTATTTGGCCGAACTAAGTAGTGATGATGCAGGGGGATGGTTGGCACCAGAAGAACCAACACGGTGCCACGGACACGCGGGTCCGAGCCACGTGGGCCAGTAGCAATCGTCCATGTGTGCATGGTGGGTCATTGCGTTCCAGGATGTCGGCATGCCTTTTCGGTCGGCCTCCGGGCCTTTTTCTGAAAATAATGTGCAGCTTCATTAGATTAGACTTTTTTTTTCGAGATCAAAACGGTTTTACTCCATCCTGGTAGAGCTACGTACAATCTTGGGGCAAGAGATCCTCAATACATGGGGCCCTCCGAGCCACACAGCCGTAGCTCGCTCAGAGCGACTATACCTTGTCAGGCAATCTGCAACACTGAGCCTTAATTTCAGCCACTAACTGATAATACACCGAACTATCTAAACTAGAATGTGAAAGACAAGATAAGGCAGTCGAAGAATCTGATTGAACCAACACCGGAAGCTCTGTATGCTGTATAGCAAGCGCCATGCCAATCACCGGCGCATGTATGTCAATCTCTAGGGCTTCACTACAATTAAATATATATGGATAAGCCGCAAAGATGAACGAGTCATCATATCTTCGGAGGATCATCCCCACCGCTGCAGTGCCATCCTCCTCCAGAAAGAAACCCTCTAGAGACAAGGCGAACATATTATTCGGAGGTGGGAGAACAATGACGCTTCGGTCTTTCCCATATATCTTGGACTACCATTTTTCCCTTCAACATTTCTCCGGTTGTGAACTACCGAGCGTCTAAAATCATCCTCATGTAGCTTTATAGAAATTCCACCGAGGCCTGGACTGGGGGGCCTCCTTTCCATGTGTGATGTCAACCCGAACCTGCCATATGCGCCACACCAGCATCACAATCATGCTATGTGCAATGTCCGAGCAACTTGC